ACTAGCGGAGTGAACTGTGAACAGCGATAAGGTATAGCTAAGAGTGGTCCAGACTAACCTTACGAACGAATGACTTACGGAAGGTATACTTAACTAAGAACGTTTCGGGAAACACGTATTAACGTAAAGGTACAACTTAAGGTATAACTTACGAACGACGTAGCGTTAAGAAGGTTTCGGGAAAGGCAGCCCTGGTCATTCTAAAAATGTTTAGCTTGATAATCTGTATGTCTTCATTTTGTTCTTGTAGTTCATGAATGGCTGTTATGCACTGACTTCTTGATCTTTCAGATTCTTTAGATTGTCACAAATGCCAACCTGAGTATTGGCCCAATAATGAGAAGGACAAGTGTCTTCCTAAACCAGTGGAGTTTCTCTCCTGGGATGAGATCCTTGGGATTATACTGGCTGCTTTCTCTGTTGCTGGCTCTTTAGTGGCTTTGAGCATAACTTTAGTGTTCTACAGAAATAGGGCCTCTCCGATAGTAAAAGCCAACAACTCAGAACTAAGCTCCCTGCTTCTCTTCTCATTGTCTCTGTGTTTCCTCTGTTCACTTACTTTTATTGGTCGGCCCACTGAGTGGTCCTGTATGTTGCGTCGCACAGCATTTGGGATCACTTTTGTCCTCTGTATCTCGTGTTCTGGGCAAAACAATAGTAGTGCTAATTGCCATCAAAGCTACACTTCCGGGAAGTAATGTCATGAAATAGTATGGGCCTCCTCAACAGAGACTCTGTTTTGGGCTTCACTCTTGTACAGGTACTTATATGTATATAAAAATATAAATATAAAATATCTCTTTTTTTATATTTTAAGTATAAAATATCTCCACCTTTTCCATATAGCAATATTCATCAGTACAAAGAAAAGATCATTCTAGAATGCAGTTTAGGATCAGCTATAGGATTCTGGGCTGTACTGGGTTATATTGGCCTCCTAACTTTCCTTTGATATGTTTTAGCTTTTCTTGCCCGAAATGAGGCTAAGTTCATCACATTCAGTATGCTCATATTCTGTGCTGTATGGATCACATTTATTCTGTCTTATGTTAGCTCTTCAGGGAAATTCATTGTAGCTGTGGAGATATTTGCTATTTTAGCTTTAAGCTTTGGTCTGAATCTCTGTATTTTTTGCTCCTAAGTGTTTCATTATTGTTTTTAGACCAGAGCAGAATACCGAAATAACATTTAATGGGTAAAGTACCGTCAAAAGCCCTCTGAGATGCACGCAATTGGCAACTGCTTAATATTAGATATCAGTCATTCTTTAATGTTAATGTACCAGTTTTCAAACCACTGATGTAACTATTTTACATATTGGTGCTATATGTATTAAGAAAAATATCCATATTTACAACGTTATAAACCTTAATCTCTAACTTCCGCTAACTGTCGTATGCGCGTTCACGAGAGAGTGGCATCCAGTGGATGATGTAGGCGTAGCATAAACTCCGGTGAGAATATGCTAGTCTCGCGAGAAACAAGTTTTGTTTACAGCAAAGGAAAACCAGTGTCCTCTTGGCTTATACTGAAATCCTCCGACATTTTCTTTACAAATCCTCGTTTTGTACTACTAATTCGTGACCGGTGTTTTGTTTTGCTCTCTCCTCTGCGCTTCCACGTTCGTTACTTCCGCGTTCATCACCACGTTTGCAGGGCCGGATTTACCTTTTTTCGTGACATAGGCAAAACTAATTTTTGGGCCCCCCTTCCCTATTAATATACAGGTGCATCTCAATGAATTAGAATGTCGTGGAAAAGTTCATTTATTTCAGTAATTCAACTCAAATTGTGAAACTCGTGTATTAAATAAATTCAGTGCACACAGACTGAAGTAGTTTAAGTCTTTGGTTCTTTTAATTGTGATGATTTTGGCTCACATTTAACAAAAACCCACCAATTCACTATCTCAGCAAATTAGAATATGGTGACATGCCAATCAGCTAATCAACTCAAAACACCTGCAAAGGTTTCCTGAGCCTTCAAAATGGTCTCTCAGTTTGGTTCACTAGGCTACACAAGCAGTGTATTCAGGTCAGGTGACAAGGCTACTTTCACTTTGAAAAGACGTGCTAGCTGAGAGGAGTTTCGTCAAAGCTGACTAAAAGTGATCGAGGATGGATAATTCCAACAAACTTGACGAACCTGTGAGATCTTCTTCAGGGCGAAAAAGGAAAATAAAAGCTGAAACGTTTTCACAGAACCTTGCAAAAGCAGCGCGTTACAATGGTGAGGGAAAAGCTCCGTGTATTGCGTGTAATCACATCCATACAGTTTATGATCACAACAACAACAACAACCTCTGTCAGGCATCTTACATTGTCATCTGAGGAGATTACAAAGATTAAACGAGTTAAACGAGTGACTCTAAAACGTTATTGGATTTTGCAAATGAACTCTTCAATATATATAAGATTGTTTTGTTTTTTTTGTATTATTGGGGGTACAGGAATAAACCACTGGTTTAAATAACATGATGTTTTGAATTCTTCTAAAATGTTTTCAAGCATGAACTGCCCATTTAAAGTCCTGAATGTTATAGTCGTGTTAACTTTGTCATGGCGCGGTAAGGGGCACCGTGGAAAAACAGGGTCTGGGTCCAAATGCAGGTAAGACTTCTCTTTAATAAAAAAAAGGCCAACAAGGCAAAACAAAACAGGTTCAGGAACGGTAGACATTATATGGCAACACATGGGCATGTATCCAAAACATTAAACAGCAACTACAATTAATAAGCCAGGCAGAGTGGTGAGTGAGAATATATAGTCTGTGACATTGGGGAACAGCTGAGGGTGTAATGAGTGACAGGTGAGTGGAGTTTGGGGAATGGAGTCCAGGAGGACGGCGACCTCTGGTGGTGAGAGGAAGAAATGCAGGGCCCGGACTCATGACAGAACCCCTCCTCTAAGGAACGGCTTTCAGACATTCCCAAGCGCCCAACCAGGGGGACGGTAGAGCGGGGGCGAAGTAGGGGGAGGGATGAGATGGGATGGGGGGGCCAGGTCCGTGTGCTGGAGGGGCCCCTGAGGACTGAGGCAGCGCCGGCGGGATGGGGACCCAGGGCAGAACCAGCGGCCACCACAGCAGTGGTGGGCTCTGCCGCTTCTCGAAGGCCTGAAACGAGCTCCGCCGCCTCAGAGGGAACATCAGCGGACTCCGCTGCTTCGGGAAGGCCTGAGGCGAGCTCCGCCGCCTCAAAGGGAACATCAGCGGGCACCGCCGCTTCGGGAAGGCCTGAGGTGAGCTCCGCCACCTCGGAAGGAACATCAGCAGGCTCCGCCACTTCGGGAAGGCCTGAAGCAAGCTCCGCCGCCTCAGAGGGAACATCAGCGGACTCCGTCACTTCGGGAAGGCCTGAAGCGAGCCCTGCCGCCTAGAAGGGGACATCAGCGGGCTCCGCCGCTTCGAGAAGGCCTGAAATGAGCCCCGTCACCCCAGAGGGAATATCAGCAGGCTCCGCCGCTTCGGGAAGGCCAGAAGCAGCTCCCCCACATCAGAGGGAACTCCGTGAGCAGGCGCCACCACCTCGGAACCATCTGTAGCGGGCTCCGCCTCAGAGGGAACATCAGCAGAAAGATATTTTAATCATGTAAATTATGTGAAAAAGAATGTGTTTTTCTAACCACCAAGCATGAGAGCATGTTCTAGTACACCCCCGAAACAAAATCAAGACTTTGTAAAAGAGCATAATAGGACCCCTTTAATACAATAAGATAAAACACTTGTAAAATAAGTAATACAATCAGGTAAAAGCAAATATAAATTTAAAACATGCCTTCCATCATAATCAACATTTCTCTTGAGACTGGCAGGGGGTGGGATGACTTTAAAGAAGGTCCTGTTTTGGGTGTTTAAAAAAATTCATGATTCACTTCAGACACATTCTCTCATCATGATTGACTGATATGAAATAATAACCACACCCTCTTACATTTTTTTTTTCATTCACATTTTCACAACAGTAGTTGCTGGTGGGTATATAAAAAAAGGTGTAATGCTCACCTCCTATTTGTGGTTGCTTGCCCAGGAAGAGACATGCATCTTTTATTGACAACGACACTACTGTGTATTGCCAGGCTTTGTCCTGTTGTGTGTGGGATTAATTTAGGCACCTGCATCCTCCAAGCTGACCCTCAGCCCCCTGCACTTTTCAAGGATGGAGACTTTGTCATTGGAGGGGCTTTCACCATTCATTACTATCTGAAGACAGAGAAGCACATCTACGTTAGACGGCCACGATCACTTGAGTGCAGTGGCAGGTTAGAACTTGATATAAAATTGAATACAATTCTAAACAGAGCAGTCGTGAATGGATTAAAGTGATTGTGTTAAAAATGTGTGTGTGTGTGTGTGTGTGTGT